ATCTTTAGCGTTAATAGTTGTAAAATAAGGTAAGGTCGCATTTTTGATTTTTTGATATAAAGTGGATTCAATTTTGAATTCTGAATATTATGAGAACAACAAAAGAATGGGATTTTATGGAAAAAGTTTCTTATGAAGTACTTGATCATTCTATTACAGTATTATGAGTGCTATTTTGGCTCGTAATGAAGTTATATGGCGCAATCTTGAACTGCGAAGTCAAGGTCAATCACCAAATAATTACTGTTATACTATTTTATCATTAATTCTTATATGATTTTATATGATTGAGTAGAATGAGCAGCAAACTATATCTATCTGATCACAATATTATCATGAACCACTTCATTTTTATCTTCATTTCCTACGTAATAAGCACCTTACTCGTGTTAGTTCTGAGCATCCATGTTATAAACCTAATGATATAAAGCCCCACTTCATCATGAACACCAACGAAAAAATAATGGATGGCCAAATCTAAAAGGAAAAGTAATGTTAGATTCGAGATTATTATATAACAAAAAATTAAGACAATAAACATTTATCTGGGTTTATGAAAAAGATATCTGCGAAAACCAAGCAGATTATATTTATGTTGTGGCTATAGATCCTGGAGTCCAAACTTATCTTACTTGGTATTCACCAACAATTGGACATGGAAATATTGGTGATAATGACATTAGCTGTATTTTTCGTCTAGGTCTTGCCCTTGATAGTCTTGTTTCACGTACTATTAAAGCATCAGCAAAAAAACACAACTCAATAAAACGTGCTCAAGCACGTATAAGGAAATGAATTCAAACCTTGACAGATAAGATATACAAAAAAGCTGCATTATGGTTAACTCATACTTTTAATATAATCGTGATATCAACATTTGATAGCACACGAATGTCTCATCGACAAAAAAGAAAAATTAATAACAAGATAGTTCGAAAAATAATGAGTTGGGCATATGCTAGGTTTAAGGCTCTTTCTAATACAGGAAGCTACTAGTGTATTGTAAACACTTTTTTGAAAATTTATATTGAGATAAATAAACAAGATATAAAGCTAAAAATTATAAAAAATATTATTTAAATCTAAAGCTTTTAAATAAAAAAAAAAATTACAAAATTCTATGCTGTACTTTTTAAAATAATTTAATTTAAATTTTTTTTTAGATTTTTTTATTGGTACGATTTATCTGTTTTTAATATGATTTTAATATAAATATAAATTTTAATTTTTAGTATATATAAACCTTAATTTTTTATATAGTAAACCAAATATAAATATCAAGTAAAATTTGTTTGGCATGAAAAATTACATTTATTCTGAAAATTTTAGATTTTTTAAAAAAATATTCATAAAATTACTAAATATAGTAATATTTACTGTATAAAAAAATTTGTTAATTTTAAATGGGTTGTTGCCTAGCAAATCGGGGCTTAGAGAGGTTTTAACCAAAATTAAGTTTTTTAGTGAATTATATTCCTAAG